TCAACGTTACTGAACAATATATGTAGAAATTGTTGAATGGGAACCTGTTTTGCTGTGTACATACACCAAAAATACAATAAAATACTATGTAAAAAAAAAGCAATTCAATAAAAATGGACAAACTAAAAACATTCATTGCCATCAAGTCAATTCCAACTCATTGTGACCCTACGTGTTATGGAATAGAACTACTCCATAGGGTTTTCTTGGCTGTAATCTGTACAGAAGCAAATTGCCAAGTCTGTCTTCCATAGTACCACTGGGTAGGTTTGAACTGCCAACGTTTAGGTTAGCAGACAATCGCCAACTCTTTGCTCCAGGTGGAACTTTTAAGCAAAACAATTAAAAAGTGGACAAAAATTTTAAGCCAGTAATTCATAAAACAAGATAGACAAACGGCCACTAAGCATATGAAAAGGCACTCAACATCACTGGTCATTAGAGAAAAGCATAATTTAAACCACAATGTGGTATCACTACACACCCATTAGAAAGGCTAAAATGAAAAAAGAAAAAAACTGAAAACACTGCACATAGGCAAGAATTTGGCAAATGAAACTCTGATACATTTCTGATGGTACAACCAATTTGGAAATTAAGTTGGCTTTTTCTTCTAAAATTAAACATACACCAGCCCTATGACTCAGCAATTCCACTCCCAGATATCTAGTCGGAGAAATGAAAATGTGAGTTCACAAAAAGACTTGTACAGGAATGCTCATAGCATTATATTCATTATAGCCAAAGACCAGAAACAACTCAAATGTCTATCAATAGGAGAATGGATAAACAAAGTATGGTATACCCATAAAATGAAATACTATTTGGCAATTAAAAGTACTAATGATACGGATCTCATCAAGAAATGACATGGATCTATCTCATAGACATGTTGAGCAAAATATCCAAACACAAAACAGAATATATTGTATAATTCCATTTATATAATGATTAAAAACACAAAAAACTAATCTATTGTGACGGACATCTGAGCACATTGTATCCTTCATGAACACAGAAACAAAAATAATCAAGAAAATATTAGCAAATCAAATCTCACAGTAAAAGGAATGTAAAAGGAATAACCACAACCCAGGGGGATGATCCCAGGAATAAAAGGCTGATTCAATATTCAAAAACCAATCAATGTAACCCATCATATAGACAGACTAAAGAAGAAAAAACACACATGATCATATCAGCTGATTCAAAAAAAGCATGAGACAAAATTCAACACTGATTCATGATAAAAACTCTAGCAAACTAAGAATATACACACCCACATTCACTGCCATCAAGTCAGATCCGACTCAGAGACACGTCCTTGGGTTTCCAAGGCTGTATCTCTATATAGGCAGATTGCCTGATATTCCTTCCAAGGAGCAGCTTGTGGACTTGCACTGTCAGCCTTCTGGTTAGCAGTCAAAAATGCCTTAGCCCAAAAAAAAAAAAAAAAA